TAAATGAACTTTTCCACGACATTCTAATTTATTGAGATGCACCTGTATACTACGGGCCGTTGAATGCTTGAATCTGATTGGCTGACAGTATGCAATTATTTTCAGGGAAACGCACGGCAAACGTAGTTCCAGGCAGCTCTCTTGACCGCATTAGTATAACCTTAAAGAAGCAAAAGAAAAAAAAAACTGCTCAAAAAGTAAACATGGATTTAAAATGTAAAAATGTTTTCAATGAGCTGTTTATTAAGTACTGTTCAAAAACAAATTGCATGAATGCACAGTGCAATTCGGATTTTTCAGAATACTCTGCATCGCCCCACCACAGTAGATTTGTTTGCTTCTTGCTTTATACTTTTCGCTCACTGTAGACAGAGTTGTTAGAAAATACTCCCCCTCCCTAATTCCCTCCTGATTCACTGTCCTGCAACACAGAGACACAACATGACAGCTGAAGACAGCATATTTGTTTTATTTGCATCCATTTGTTAGCATTTTCTCCAAGGCCTTGAAATGTCACACTGAAAATTAGATTTGGCCTCCTGCAGTGTTTTCCATTCTGTCTTGAAAGCTGATAATTACTGTACATGCATCGTTTCATTACCTTGGCTTCACAATGTGAGTGAGATATGACTGACACAGGAGCAGTGACCTCACATAGGACTAAATAGCAACTAGGTAGTCTGTGAAAACTTGGTTTACATAAAAACATAAGGAAGTGCTAAGACAGCTATGCATGATATTCTGTCTTTTCTCATGAGAGCATGCTATAGAACCAGCTAATACATGGGTTTAGGATAACTTGCAGGCAGGTGTTTTGAGGAAAATATCCAGGGAAACACAGGAGAAATAGCAACCACATAAACTGAAACGTGACTGAACAATGAACAAAAGAACAGCTTAAAGTAGTGCAATGACCATATGCCAAATATCAAAACTCAAAATATGTAATTTCCATACTGTCACAAGACGGTGTGGTGTGTGATCAGGCAGGATGAAGACGACGAAGAATTCCAATAATCACTTTAATTAATCCAAAATAGGTAATCCAGACAGGTCAGGAACACACACACACATGAGGTAACATTCACAATAACCAACAAACTAGAACACAATCGACAGGAACTGATATAGGGCAGATAACGAAGGCAGACAGGTGAGCACAATGAGGTGATTAACTAATAATGAGAACATGAATAACCAAATATGGACACAGAGGGAGAAACCACAATCAACAGTCCACAGGGGTGTGACAGATCGCCCCCCTCCTGGAAGGCGCATCTTTGCGCCGTGGAGACAGAGGGAGGGACGGAGGGGGACTTAGGATGAGGACAAAGTAGTGGATGTGGGATGGTGACAGGAGAAGGCAAAGGGCTGGCAGGCAGACCAGACAGGTGGAGGTGCCAGCGGAGGACAGACTCCCAGGAGGAGGACGACTAACAGAGTCCAGGGTGGTGATGACGGAGCGAGGGAGCCAGGGAGACGACAGGAGGGAACCGGAGCAGGAGGAGGAGTTCTCCCTCCGTTCCTCAGGCGGTCCTACAGTTGAAATCAACCCACTGCAACAATTTAAAAGTAGCCCAATTCCGTGGGGAAAAAAATGCAGACTTGACAACCCTGCATGCAACACATGCTGCAGGAGTCAGATTTCACTGATCATGGGTCGAGAGTAAGAAGAGATGACTATTAAGACCATGGTGGATTTGCTGCTCAACAGATCCTGAGCTCATTGACAAATATCTTATCTTTTAAGATGTGTTCCCTTTACAGAGAGTTCACGTGATTCAAATGAAAAGTGAATCAAAAGTGAAAGTGAACAGTGATCGCTCATTCAAAAACGATTTCAATATCCTGCATATGGATAGAGGCTCCCTGATGACACCAGAGGGTCGATTGATCCAGACAGAGCTGATGGAGGTGGAGCCCAGGGTCGAGACGGAGAGCAGAAGAGCCAGGGTGACACTGTAGGTCCGGAGAGTCAAGGCAGCATTGACGACTCATGTGACTGGGGCAGAGGTGGGGACCCGGAAGACCACAGCAGAGCTGGTGCGACTGCGGACAAAGGTGGATCCGTAGGGAAGGAGGAACAAGGCAACACTGGAGGCTCAAAATCATCATCTAACCAAGGCGGAGACGGAGGAACAAGGGAGCCAGTTGGAACCAGTGGGATTATGGTCCATGGTGGAGATAAGGGAGCAGGGAGCCAAGGCAGAGCCGATGGGTCAGAGGGCCAAGGTGGAGTCTGGGATTCGGAGGCTGGAGGTAGAGACAGAGGATCCTCACGCCTATGCAGAGCTGGTTACTGGAAGGCCCAATGGCGGATCCGCATAATAGGGTGGAGCAGACTGAGGATGAGCAGAGGGAATGGCAGGAGCCAGTGGAGACGAGGAACAAGCAGATTCTGGAAGAGGAGGTGAGAGAGGGAGGCTGGGTGGGAACTAGGGGTTGCACCGACTAGTCGACTTTAATGCTCTGCCATGACGCTTTAAGCTTGACGTTGACTAGTCGCTGGTCCTATAGAGGGCGCAACAGGATAAGAAATCTTTGAAGGACTTCCACATTTACGCTCCGTTTCCAAACAGTTAAAATGACAAATAAATGCATACTCCAAAGCTCCACAAAACATGTGATTATATTACTGGATGCTCGAAATTGAATGGGAGAATGCACGTTTTAAACAGCTTATTGTGCAGGTAAGTTAATTGCCATTCTAATCTAATGTGCTGCTGCACTGTAACACACAGTAGCGCGTACATCACGCATAGATCGCGAGCACACAAATTATTTCAGAGCGAAAATGTATTGTCAACACTGTTCTGTGATTTCTCAATAAAATATCTTAGAAACTGAAATGTTCTAGCATATATTTCTTAACTAAATCCCACAGCTTAACTACTAGAAGAGAGACGCCACCAGGTAGAATTTATCTGACTTTATCTGTATCTGATTTAGAATGGGCAGAAATCTGTGAGAAATATAATGACCCAAAGACAAAAGAACTGATAAAAATGAGCTGTTATAGGAGCAATAGCCATGTGGGCAGCGCTGTGTCATATGCCATAGCTGTGCACAAGGTGTTTGTCACAGCTCCAGACTTATTTGTTAATTAATGACATCATCAGCGACTAGTCGACTTCGACTCGACTTTCATCACATAAAAGTCGACTTTAAAAAATCAGAAGTCGTTCAACCCCTAGTGGGGACTCAGGAGATACTAAGCGGGGTGGAACCAGCGGCGATGCAGGAGCAATGTTGCTGGCTTGCGCACCTGGTCAGATGCATCTTGAGACTCAGGCTTATTGGCTTAGTCACTTCCTCTTGCGCTGGCTTGTGTATTTCAGTGGGCTTGGGCTCTCTGTCTGCGGTGGGCTCAGGCAATCGCTTCATGCAGTGGGGTGATGGCTGACTGGGCTCTGAATCGGGAGTGGGGCAGTTGAATTCTTTCTCTGCGAGGACGATGGTGAATGGCTACCCGCAATTCACCAGCACCCACTCCACAAATGTGGCAAAGCTCACTCAAGGACCTTCTCCAAACAGCTTAGCCTTTGTCACGTTGCCAGGCAGCTTTCTGGGTAGTGCCTCAGGTACGCAAGATCTAAAAAATTATCTTGTATGGTCCTCAAGGGAGCAATGCTCTTGCAGGCAGGGTAGGCTAACTGCAGGAATTTCCATTAATTATTAAGTTATGCTGTAACGAAGCACACAATGATGATGAAGAAGAAACAAAGTCTTTATTCACAATTCAAAATGCTCAGGAGATATCCAGGGAAACACAGGAGAAATAACAACCACATAAACTGAAATGTGACCGAACAATGAACAGAAGAAACCCAGGGTTTAAATACATAGGCAGATAATATTCACAACTACGAACACATGAGGAATTAATGAGCAATTATAGAAACAGATGAGGGAATAATAGGAAACTATGGAAACAAACTAGTGAACAGAACTCAGGCAAAGCAAAACAGGGAACAGAGTGAACATGAAACAAAAACAGACTATATATGTTACAAATACCATTCTGGTTTAAGCTACATACCTGTTCCATTTGTTTGTGCTGTTTTCGGTAAATACTTGACACTGATTTCAACATAATTAATCTCTCTTGAGTCTGATATCCCCAGAAGGCCAGACCAAACACGATGAACCCTGAAGGAGCATTCATCTCATTCAGTGCTATGGTCAATCCAGCACCCTACACCTACACTGCTTCCTTCTACAGTTCTTACTAGCCCTTGAGATGTAGCCGCAGCAGTATTCCCACTGAACATGCAAATATATTACTCTCACTGATCACCAGGAGAGTTCTGCGTTAGACATTATATGTTAGGGAGCCGAGCCAGCCCGGCCACCCAGTTCCTCTAAGTTTTCTTCGATTTCCTCACCCCCTTTCCGTGAGGTATTTAGCCATCCAGCAAATGACTAATCTGTGAGAGAACAATTTGATTCAAAGTTCTGTATTCCAGCTGCTGCCTATGATGACTCAATGGGGTTTGAACACTTTATTCAACTCTCCACCAGGGTTGCCCATCGGATGAAGAACTGTATCAATGAGCCACCAGCCCTGCAGTCCACGTCTT